TTTATGAAATAAAATAATTTATTTTGTGTATTTTATTTTATATTTAGATTTTGTTATATTTAACTTAAAATTTTAATTAATTCAATTAAATGGTTTTAAAACTGAATTAATTAAAAATAAAATTTTTTAAAAATTATTTTAATTAATTAATTAAAATTAATTGAATTAAATTGATTTAATAAATTAATTTCGTTAAAACTAAATTATGAACACTTCTACTCTCACTCTCTCTCGATGAGGCAGGCCACTCCAGCTCCAAGGAGAAGCCATGGCCTTTTTCCACCAAAGCCACCAGAAACTTCTTTCCTCCTCCGAATGATGAGCGGCTCGACAAAGTTTTCCAACTTGGTCGAGGTATCAAGTTCTTCCTCCAAATCACAGGCCTAGTTTTTGAAGAAATTTTCTCCACTGAAGACTCGGTATTTTTCAATCACATGGTTGGTTCTTTATTCTATATTCATTTGTTTTGAAGTGGATCCTTTTTACATATGATGTTTCATGTTTATTGTTGGTTTAATAGGCTGTTATAGTCCATGTGTTTGTTGAAAGTTGCCGTTAGAAAGACTGCCAATGGAATTTCTCAATTGGGATTGCTTCTTCTGATTTTTATGTTGATAATTTCCGTGAGTGCCCAACTTGTGGATGTAGCTTGATTGTGATACTGTTAATGGAAAAAAGATTAACCCATCATCTGATTGTGATAGTGTTAAATTGATGTATCATCAACTCAATAGAAAGGAGCTGTTAAACAATTAATCCAATGGAAAAAACAATGAAAATTTGCTCTGCAGATCACAGAAAGAAGTGAATAGAACACTAGATTAGAGGGCAGGGGGAAGAACAGATTTTGCAATAGAAGCTAAACCGCTGGTTATCTATAATGGGTACCTATCCTTTTTTCTTTTTTTTACAGAAAATGTGAGGCATGAAAGATCAGACTGAAAAGGAATCTGTCTTTTAAGCTCATAGATGGTTAAATGCAGTCCTTGGAGAATAACTAGGAGCGAAAGAATTAGGAAGAAATCATTCAAGCAACAAGGAAAGAGAAATCCTAAGACTAAGAGCAGCCCTTTTGCCCCATTTCACATTCGTCTTAGAGCTAGGAACTGGGAAAGAGTAAACAAGAAAAGGCATGACTGAAGGAGGTTTCTAAGGACATAATATGATTATAACCTCCTTTCTGCATTTTGACATTATACATTAGGTGCAATTCCTGCATAATAAGGAGCCTGTGTGGTGTCATATTTTGGTCATAAGGGGCTGCTTGTTAGTACTACTTCGCTTCTTTATCTTAAAAGAGTGACCAAAAGCAGATGAGGTTCTTTTGGAGTTGCAAGAACTTGGACTATATATATTGTCAAAAGAAGATGACATGGAGTAGATGCATTAGTTCGTTTGATTCGGTAGTTTTAACTGTCTGATCTGTTGTTGATCAATTCTTTTTTCCTTTTTTTCCCCCTCCCTCCGCTTGTTTTAACATGCGTCGTTAACTGTACACATCTGATTAGTTAAGAATCGATTCTTTCACCCTATTTGTTAGCCTCCTAGCTATATTTATGTAATTATGTTATATCACAATGATACGCTCTCTATGTTGTTGTGTATAATATTATTCTCTTTTATATATAAATGATATGGGTACTTTGATTAGCCCAACTCTATGACATAAAGGAAATATGTATTTGTAGGTCCCAATCTTTCCCATGTTTGGAAAGAATTAAAGCAAAATAATGAGCAGCAGCTCAATCCTAGAATGGCCATGGACCCAAGACTGTTGTCAAATAGAGTTTTTACCTTTGAGGGCTGTGGCAAATCATAAGCTGGTCTTAATGATGGTGTGTTCAATTTCAAAAATCACCAAGATCAGCAATTGATCAAACAAAATCTTAGAAAGTAGAATAAAAAATAAGACTACGCATTCAAATTTCGTAAGGGAAAGGATACGATGAAGATAGCTTGTTGGGGTTGCAAAAGGAAGGCTGCCCCTGCCCTTGAGTCAAACCTAAAGGACTTGCTCTTGTGCAGTCATGGCCTCATGGACCAAATCGGAGTGGGAAGAAATGCACATGAGGATCTTCTATTATTAATAAATTTGGCCCCTTTTTCTTTCATTTTATGGAAAGTCACTTGATCATATTACTAATTAAACTTTCTTTTTCCTAGTTCTCACATGCATGCGTGCGTGGAAGAGATTGGAGGATCAGGTCTTTCGACTCAGACGCCACCGCCCATTGTTTGTAAAAGCCAGAGGGAACGTGGTAGGCAACAATTTCCCTGCCAATTACCCTACAATTGATTGTTGCAAATTTTAATCAAATGAATGAAACAATGCAAGCATGTATTAATACAAGTATTAAGTCTAATTAAATAAAAAAATGTAAAAGTTGGAATACACATTTCTCTTCAAAGCCTATATCCATGACAAAATTCCTCAGTTGAGCTATTTTATTTTGATATCGAATATATTCATAGGCATATCAATTTTTTCCCCTAAATTTTTTGCATATCTTGTAATTGATGATTCATATTTTGTTTCTCCAACTTTAATATGTCATTGGAAGACAATTGGCAAGTTTTAAGCCATTTTTTTTGGTTCCTGTCTAAATATCGATGGATTTTGTATTGTAATTGAAGCAGACAAGTTGAAGTTATGGCCCTTATTAAATTTTAAGACATCCAAGAAAAAAAAAATGCAAGAAAAGCATATACACATAATCCAATATTCCAATCCACTAAATCCCCAAGCAGTAGAGTAAAAGATCTATGTTGTTGGGCACTTGGGCTTTGGCAGATTTTGAGGAAAATGTTAAGCAACAATGCACAATCAAATTAAAAAAAAGGTTATTAACAAAAAATGGCTGGTTTAAGTGCAATGACTGGCGCGTTGTAGGAGACCAGCTGTAAAACTATAAGCTTTAAACATGTCTGATTACTGATAATAAATCATTAATCGCAAATAATTAACAGCAAAACAGAGTTGGATAATGTACCCAAATGGGTTTTACAATGTATGGAGAGAGTAGAGTATCGAGGAACATGTCACCTTGATTTGGGGAAGGATGGGTTTTGTGTCTGAAGTTTGTCGTTTCCCTTTTTATGGTGGGAGTTTCTCACTGTCGACACAAACTCTTGGGGGATTCTTTTAGCCCAAACTTTGGCCATCTATTGATGTTAAATAATCTGTTGGTCATGTCTCTTGTGTGCTCTTAAGTTTGTTCCTTTTTCTTTCTTTGTTTATAGCCTTTTTCTCCATTTCCATATATATATATATATATATATATATTAAGAATGTTGGCTTCAATTACTTTTGTTTTATATACCAGATATAAAACAACTCCAACGGCAGAAGGCTCCCCGTTCCTCAACACTTGAACAAATGACTGGATGATGAGTCATCTCCCTGAATCTGATAGAACAATATGATTGGGAGGAAGAACTGCCCGTTAGAATCTTCTTTCACAATCGCACATCCATCTCCCTAATCCATGCAGAACACTTGTTGAATTCCATAAGCGTAGCTTTCATATATTTCGACGGCGATTAGTTTTGCCTGGAGGAATGAACCAACTCTAAGAATGCAAAAACTGCACTTCATGGTCATGAAATTGAAGCTGTTGAAGTAGCTTTAACTGTGATGGCAGCATCAACAAGAGTCTTCACCCATTTTTGATGACTGATTCACAAGAATTCGGGTGCGCCTTATTTTTGGGCTTCCTTATGAAAACTAAACACCCGAGAGCAAGTCCAAGATGATTTGTTAAACCTGAACCATATTTGGAAGCCTAGACTTGGACTGGGATGTGATTAAGGCCTATTGTCTAAGCAAACCTTGCACGGAAGACTATATAATTAAGCAGATCACTATGGCCCAAGCGTTAATCTTTTGCTTGGATTTTCTGGTCCAGGACTTGGGCAGGAAACCAACTCGTTTTCTAGTCCAGGCTCCCTGGACTCCTACAAGATCTGCGGCTTGGGCAGACAGAGATGACTGGTAGTTTTTCGGCCGATTATGATGACTGGCAGTTGCAGCTTTCCAAAAAATTAGTTTCGACCAGCTACTTTGGGTCACTTTCTTGGTCGTTCAGTTTTATTTTATATTCCATTTCAAACCATTAACTTATTACACCCATGTGCTTAATTAATTTGATGACTTCTGGTTTTTCTAATTAAAATCTTCATGTCTATAACTATAAGCCTAATGTTTATCACATCATCCAAACACTAGTTTTCTTATGCCTTGAGGCTTGTATTATTTTGTTGAGATAAGACATGGCAATGGCAGCTTGACAAGGGAAGGTTTGAAGTAGCAATATTAGGACGTCATCCAGCAGTAGAACCTTTGCTTGTTTAAATATTGAAAAGAGGCCAAAATATTGCTTGTTATGACAACCTACATAATGAAATACAAATTCAAAGCAGCCTATCTACAAAGAAACTTTAATCAAGTCTTTAGGGCAATGATCTTAGCAATTAAAGGAACCTTAGCTGGTAAACAAAGGTCGGTCATTAAACTTTACGTTTAAAAACAACATTTTTATACAATGATCAATCATAAAAGTTGCGTTTCAAAACAACAATTCTACATGAGTCTTCCTACCTCTTTGTCCTTGCAACGAATGTATTGTCCAAGTTATTGAATGCTGCTGTTGCTCATATGGGGTCTTCTCATATCATCCTAAGTGCAAGACGACTGGTCTTACACATGTTTGCTTTGCCGATAACTTGTTGATTTTGTCAAAGGCGATCTGGTCTCAATTATTGAAATACAAAATATGTTGAATTTGTTTCATTGATCTTATTCTGGACTTCAATTGAATTGCTCCAAAAGCCAACTCTTTTTCACAGGTGTTTGGCGATAACTGGGATGCAAAGTTTATCCTATGCACTATGCAGGTAGACTAAGCTAATTCAATCAGTTTTGTTCAACATTCAGAACTACTGGTGATAACCAACTTGCCTACAAAAACAAATTCAACGTAAATACCAAAGTAAGGAAAATAATATCTTTCACGACATCATCGAATGGAAGCCAAGCAAGCTCACTGTTATTCATGCCAACCATCAGAAGGCCTGTGAACACGTGTTCGTCCAAGATTAACCTTTTTCTTGGGCCTTGCAACTTCAAGGGAAACACTCAGATTTCGTCTTTTCTTTTGTCTTTCCATATATATAAAACCATGCACTTGCTATCTCTTCATTCTTGAAACCTGCTTTTAGCATTTCGGGAACTTTTGGCTTTATCTTTAACGTTCAGACAAAAAACTTGTTTATTCTTGTTGCAACAACAAATAAATAGAGCAGGAAGAATGGCAGGAGATAGGAAGATAGGGGTGGCTATGGACTTCTCATGTACCAGCAAGAACGCTCTTAAATGGGCTATAGATAACTTGGCTGACAAAGGAGACACCCTTTACATCATCCACATCAACCCCAACTCTCTTGATGAGTCTCGCAACGTTCTCTGGGCCAAATCTGGTTCTGGTATGTTTCTTTCCTTGCTTCAAATTATTTTTCTTTCATTTCTGATCTGATATAATCTTGGGTTGTTTTTCGATTCTTGCAGCTCTTATTCCTTTAACAGAATTTAGAGAGCCACAAATTATGAAGAAATACGATGTTAAAACTGATATTGAAGTTCTTGACATGCTTGACACTGCTTCTAGACAAAAAGAGGCAATTCTCCTTTTCTTTAACCTTTAAAAGACCATCTTTTGTATCCATTATACATAGGCTTATTTGAGGCTGATAATCATATTTGCGATTACAGATACAGGTTATCACAAAACTGTACTGGGGAGCAGATGCTAGAGAAAAAATTCTTGATGCTATTGAAGATCTAAAGCTCGACTCTATGGTTATGGGAAGCAGAGGACTTGGAACCGTTCAAAGGTACACAGTATATGGTCATAAAAAAGGATGTATTTTTGTTGTTCCTGCTTTGTTTCAGTGTCATCACTGATGTTTTTGCATTGTTTGGTTTGATGAAAAACAGGATTATCTTGGGGAGTGTGAGCAACTACGTTATGACGCATGCTCCTTGCCCTGTTACCATCGTTAAGGAACCATCGAGGTCCAGCAAGCACTGATAAGTTTATATTTCGAATTTGATTTACAAAACAATAATGTATGGTTTTTTCGGCTCGATCTGCTGTTCCTTTTTGGTTGATCATGTTGACTAAGGACTTTGGTTGTTTCTCAAATGTGGAACTTTGTCATATATGAATTGTTATCAATTTGTGTTCCTTTGGTATTGATTTATGGCCCTACTATCGAAATCATATTCCTCATGTTGAGGAAAAGCTGATTGGCTATAATAATCAGCTTTCTCTTGTCCATATTATGACCTCTCTTTCAAATTTGGGATACTTTGTAGTACTTTTTTTCTTCCATTTTGACATGGGCAGATGGAAAGACCAAGATCTATGAATTTGTGCTGTTGCAACATGGCTTGACACTTTAATTTTAAATTGATCACAAGCTAGGTGCATGGATAAACTCGACAATGCTCAATTGAAGATACTTCAATTATCTTTAACATGTTCATTTATTAATTTCTGCCTTTCTGGCCCAGAAACGATAGCAAGTAACACCTTACACATGCACGTTGCAACATTTGAAAACAAACTAATATTACACAGAAAACCAGGTAATTGAGCCAAGGCAAAAGCAAGCGAGAATCATTGGGAAAACGTTCATTTGGAGGCTTTAGTTTGCGCATCCATAGCTCCAGCAACGCGAGCCTTGAAAAAGGCCAAAAGTCTGTCTCTGGGAGGCAGACTTTCCTTAACAACACTGCAACTTACAAACTCGTTGGTCCATTTGACCAAGTCAGGGAATTTTTCAGCTGACAGCAACTCCTGTCCTGTAGCTTCTTGAAGGACCCTAAGCCAAAAGCCAATAAAGTTGGCAGCAATGTCTACCAATCCAACTGTATCTCCCCCAAAGAATCTTTTCCCCTTCAGCGCACTTGCAAGCGTTTTTAGAAAGTCGCAAGCTTCTTCCACCGACTTTTCTCGCTCATTCTCGGGGCTCCACGCAGCGTTCCATAGTGCAGGCAGGCACTATATACAAACAAGTCAACAAATACGATTATGGCTTAAAAATTGGTTCACGACCTTTATATATGAAGTTTGAATGGGTCAAATTGAACCCATAAACAAATTTTGCCAGGTGAGGCCCATTTCTAAATCTGAGCTGTTTAAAAGTGATTAAATGATAAAATACTACCTTCTCATCGAGGAACCTAGCCCAGAACCGAGCCATGGCTTTCTCATAAGGATCCTCCGGCAAAATGGGATTGCCTTTCCAAGTTTCCTCAATGTATTCAAGTATAACAAGTGACTCCGCAATTGGCTTCCCATTGTGGAGGAGGACAGGGATTTTCTTATGAACTGGGTTGTATTTCAAAAGCAAAGGGCTTTTGTTGTTATAGACATCCTCTTCTATGTATTCATATTGAACACCCTTCAACTTCAAAGCAAGCTCTACCCTGCGGCTGAAAGGGCTTCCCCAAGCTCCAAAAACCTTAACTTCTTCAGACATGACGTCAGACTTTTCCACATTTAGTAGAACACTTATGGCTTGATGCTACTTATAGAGGGAGGATTTCCTAGTTTTCTTAGCGAGGAAGATATGATAGCTTGCTGTCATCATCCTTATTTAATCAGTGACGGTCAAATGAGAGCGCAGTTGTTAGAATCTTGAAGTTTTCAACATAATCGGAAGTTAGGAGGGACAAGCAGTGAACATCCAGGAAAGTTCAATTAATGTAGCCCAGTCAATGTGCATTAATGAGAGAGGAAAAAAAAATTGCACGAGGTAAGATGGTGCGTCAGCTTAAAATTAAACCGGGCCCTTGAAGCCTCTTTTCTTGAGCATATCAAGTCCAACCTCTAGATAGACAGGTCTTTGGCAAATGTTTGGATTGTAGAGGGCAACGTGCCGACGTCAATTGCTTATTCTCCCTCTTATCAGAATTAAAAGAAGCAGTGTTTCCAATAATTGGTAATTGAATCTTACGTTCTCATCTATGAACTTGGCACATGAGTATCTTCAGGCAAAATTGGATTGCCTATCCAAGTTTCAGCAATGTATTTGAGAATAATAGGAGACTCCAGGGTTGGTTTTTCATTGTGTAGGAGCACAGGAACTTTCGATTGTATTTTTAGATGTAAAGGACACTCAAAGCTTGTCATCAGACGCATCTTCTATGCATTCCCAATCTGGAGTTATTCTGTAGCTTCATTGATGGGCTGTTTGTTTCCGATTACAAATGGAGCTCTTATTGAGATGATAGGCCCATGGATTGTACCTTTGGTAGCCTAATCATAATTCGCTAGATCCATGGGTTGGTCATTATCCAACATCTAAACCCAACTTGTATTTTTTTGGCAGAACACAACCCATGTCTAAGCCTTTTACATGGAAACCTCAATTTTTTAATTAGAAGGATGGAATTGGAACCTTCCTAACTTTTGATATGGTAGAACTCGTTATTTTTATTTCTTAATTTGTGGGTGTGTTTCTTTTCTTACATTCAATATTTTTATCTCTTCTTCGTTGCAGCTAAAGTTGAAAGGACAAGATTACTAATTTTGATTCCAAATTCAAAAGTGAATTTGGTTGGTTCCAACATTATCATTCACTGCTTTCACGTAAACGAGTATAGTACAACTTATATTCCAAGCTCAACACATCCAATGAATAAACAAATTCAAAGCATCCCAACCAAATTTGCCTGTAACTCAACAGAAAAAGGCTTCCTTTCTTAAATGGTTTTCCATTCAAAAATTGAGTTTTGCAGCAGAATGAAGAAAAACATTAAAAAAAAGGTGTTAAACACAATTTCGTAAATAAAAGACTCAACCCAAAACACCTTGGGGATGAAGTTTTTTCTTTCCATCTAATTATAAGTCAACATCAGCCAAGAGTTTGGTAGCCTTTGGGGGATTGGGGAAGGGGGGAGCCTATCAAAAGCAAAGCAAAATCTTCAGTTGGAACAACCGCACTAACCAAACAGGGATGGATATTTTAGGAGAAGTGGCAAAAAGACCGGAAGCGTTGCAAGGAAAGGTAGAAGAAGGCCATAGGGCAAGGCCATAGTGGAAGTGATGAATGTTAATTAAACAAGGGATTATTTGATAATTATGAGATCTTCACTTCAACTCCAATGTCATTTTCTGAATCATTCTCAATGTTAGTTATGAGAAACTGCCCTGACTAGCATGTTGCTTTCATGTCTTAATTTTGCATATCTGTTCCAAATCCTAGCGTGTCTTAGGAAGTTAAATACATAATTGAAAGACATCATGGATATATCCGTCGCCTACACGACTCCCATCACCTTACTTTTATCATTAATTTTCTCACAAACTAGAGATCATTAAGCCTTTATCTTTGTCTGCTTAAAAACAGGAGAATTGGAGCAGTTTAAAAAGGAAAAGAATAGAAAAAAATAATGCTTGTGCGTGTGTGTGGTCTCAGCAAAATACTTTTACAAACTTGCTAAAAATGATATACAAAGGTTTCCAAAGCAAATGGATTTGGATTTTCATTTCATATGAGATAAATCTTTTCACATCGAAAAGATTTAGATAGTGTTTATATTAAATTTTGTATTAATTCAAAATAATCAATTCTAAAATTAACTTCGCATCTTGTTACTAAAAATAAAAATTAAATAAAAATGAACTCAAAAATATTTATTTAAAACTTAACTCAAATCATGTCAAGCTTACAAGTGTAAAAATTAGTCTAACTTCTAAGCAAATCTTTTCTAAAATTGTTTGATAAATGAGAGATAAAATGAGGAATAAATTAAAAAAAAACAAATAAGCATTTTACTTTTATTGTACAAAACTTAGCAATCCAACACACAAGACAAAAAATGAAAGTGAAACGAGTATATTTTTTTATTTTAATGTTGAACTTTGATTTTACGGTTCATTATTATTAAATATACTTGTTGATGCTGAGATATAATATGGAGATATTCTTGAAAGAGCATAAAATTTTTAAAAAATGATTAGATATAAATGTAGATAGAGTTTTTTATGTTTATATTTCGACGTGTAAATCAATATAAGTGAGGTCAAAAAAAGAGTAATATAAAGGATAGGGAGTAGATAAAACTTACTTTAGAGATACTTGAACATTTATATTTATAGATAATAGATAAAGGATCATTTGAGGATAATAACAATGTGATCAAGTTGATATGATACCGTCATAATGATTTTGAGACCGTCAAACGTAAAAAATTTTAAAATTGAGAAAAAATAAAAAGAGTACCCATTAATTTTTTTTAGGGTGTGATTGGTCACACAAAAGTTTATCTTTTAAATAAACTATAAAAACGAGTTTAAAGTTTATCAAAAGATAAATTTTGGTTTACGAAAACGGATCCTGAGTTCATGAGTCGGTTATGCGTGGAGAAGGATTAGCACCCTCATAATACCCATAAATTGGTACGAATTAATTATGTGTTATTTTTAGTATTAGATGAAATTGTTTCGATTTGAAATTTAATACTAATTCCTTTCATTTTAAAATAACTTTTTGTTAAAATTCTTTATTTAAAAATATTGAGAAAATCTTTAAGTTAAAGAATTTTCTTAAAATTCTTTAACATTTAGGTAAAATTTAAAATAACTCTTTTTATTTAAGATTTAATACAATATTCTTTAAAACAAAAATAATATTTTTTGTAGAAAATAATTGTTAGTTACTCTCTAACATCTAGATAGAGTACCAAGAATTATTTTCTCTATAATATTATTTTTATCTTATTTTATAATATCATAATTTTAAAACTAAGTAAATTAAAAAAAAACATTTTGTACGAAAAAGTAAATGATGGTATTATCAGATAGCAAGTAAAAATTAAAGACAAAGAAATGTAAGCGAGTGCAAACAATAACAAATAAATGAATGTAAGCCAATAGGTGCTGTGTATGATGATGAAATGCAAACTTAAAAATTGAATTTTTAAATATAATGAGACCACATTGACTTCTCAATATCTAGACGAAGTTTATGTGTGACTATTCATATTTAAGATCTCATTTTATTATTAATTAGTTATTAACCTCATTGTTAAAGCGAATTAAGGACCTTTTGAAAAACTTAATGGAATAAAATTTTTTAAATATCTCATTGTCTAGGTGACATTCGGAAGTAAATTACTCATTTTGAGATTTTCACATGTATCCTTAGAATTTTGAAATGATTTTGAATATATGTTTAGGTTGAGGTTTCAAGGCTTGCTTGATTTTTGGGTGATGATTTGGGATTGTGTGCTAAATTTAGGGTTTTTAGAATTTTGGATTTTAAAGTTTTAAATTTTAGGATTTGAAGTTTGGGGTTTTAGTTTTAGGGTTTTAACAGTTTAGGGTTTTAATTTTAGGGTTTAAAGGTTTTAGGGTTTAGTTTTAAGGTTTGAAAGATTAAGGGTTTCAATTTCGAGGTTTTGATTTTTGAATTAAAAAAATGCGAACATCTATAAAAATCTCCAATATCTAAGCTGACTTTCGGAGCAAGTTCAATTTTTGTGATTTTTAAATTTTTTTTAAAAAGTTAATATTAATTTGTTTAGTTTATTTTTTTAATAATAATTTTCAAATATCTAGGCGAAATTATCATTATTTACAGTACGATTGTATTCCCTCTAACATCTAGAGAGAATTTTTTTTTTATTATTAATATTTTTTAGATTTTTAAAAAAAAATTTTTGTTATTATTCTCATTTATTATCATTTTATTTTATTATTAATAATTATTATTATTATGAAACAACAAATATTTATTCTAAAAAAAATTAAAGGTATTAAACATGCATAATTAACAATAATAAAACCAAAATAATATAAATAATATATATAAAAAAATAAAAAATAAAAAATAAAAAATTATCTGAACCGGATCGGTCAACGATCCGATCAATATTGATCCAGTCGGTTCGGGCGGTTCAATCAACGGTTCGATTGAACAGGTTCAAGGTTAATTGAAAGATGGGTGGTCAAGTCAGATGCACGGACCTCGAGTCGGGTCGTGGGTCAATACGCGGATCCTTGGTCCCAAAACGACGTTATTTTGGACTACTAAGCCTATATATAAATAAGTTTTTTTTTTAGCTCATTTTTTCCCCTTTAAAAAAAAAACTCTATTTTTTTCTCTCAACCTAAAAAAATAGAAGACAGGTCGACTGCCAGAAATCGGTCACTGGCGGTCATGTCGGTCATCGATCACCAACGCCGAAAAAGCTTACAAAATACTCTGAAGTTTCTTTTTTTCGTTTTCTTTCCAGATTTTGTGTTTTTTTCGTCGGAAACAAGCCTGATCAATGTAGATTGAGGTTTTAAGATTTTCGTCTTTTTTCTCTCTTTTTTTTTTTTTAAAAAACTAAAACTAATGTGTTTCCTTTATTTTTGTGAGGAGCTTGGCGTTGGGTTCTTCCTTACGAGGAGGACTGTTTGTTTTTTTGTGGATTTTTTGTTTGTTTTCTTTTTTTTTTTTTTTGGTTGTGGTTGGGTGTTTCTGTGGGTTTTGTTAGGGGAAGAATGAAGGGTTTTGGGCACGGGTTTGTGGTGTTTAGGGGAATGGGTGTGTGTGGGCACATGTGCCAAGACCCTAGTTTGTGGAAATTGGGAATCGGGATAAGGTCGAGCCGATGGTTGGTTTGGGTGCTAGAACTTTAGGTGCAGGCATAGAGACTAGGGTCATAGTTTTTAGGGTATGGGGGATTTGGGGTTTTTTGGGCGTTTAAGAGTTGGGTTTTTGGGTAACCGAAGCTTGGAAAGGGAAGAGAGTGTTTG